ACCATGGTGAAGATACGGCCTCTGCAGGAGTCGGCCAAAGGCTACTGGCTCTTGGCCCGCCGCAGCATTGCCAAACCTACAGAGTTGGCTTACTACGTGTGCTTTGGCCCAGCGGGAACAACCTTGGCGGAACTGGCCAGGGTGGCCGGAACCCGTTGGGCCATCGAGGAATGCTTTGAGGAGGCCAAGGGAGAGGTAGGGCTGGACGAGTACGAGGTCCGTCGTTGGGATGGCTGGTACCGGCACATAACGCTGGCCATGCTGGCCCATGCCTATCTGACAGTAATCAGACATCAGGCACTGGAGCAGGGGGAAAAGGGGGCCACTACGGTCTCGATGAAGAGCTGATTCCCCTAACTGTACCGGAGGTGCGCCGACTACTCACCCGTCTCGTATGGACGGAAAGACAGCCACCTGATTTGATCCTGTATTGGTCGTGGTGGAGGAGACGCCACCAAGCAACAGCCCAGCGCTGCCACTACAACCGCCGCCTGCCTAAAGTGAGACTGTAGTACTAGTGATGGAAAGTGTGCAACTCGGAGGCAAGCTCACAGGCGGGTTTCCGGCGATGACCGCGACGGTGCAGGACCACAAGCGCGGGACTAGGAATCGGCAGATGAAATGGATTGTCGAGAACCTAATTCGTGCCGCGCTGGTCTACGGGGTGAACCTAGCTCTGGATTATCTCAAGGAATTACTTCGGGGACAGTTGCAGCGTTCCCTGGGAAAGGGTGGTCCCGGGAAAGAAAACCCCTGGGCTATGTCCGGGCTATCACGAGGTAGAACTCAACCGGAAGGCCATGCGACTTAGGTAGGAGGGCACGGTGTCGACCAGCAGCCGCTTCCTCTTCGCTGAAGTAATCAGGGATCCGGTGGTCTGCGCGCCATCCTACCGCACTGCTTTGCACAAAAAATGATTTTTATTCCCGAGTTATTGTGCAGGCTTGTTTGGAATTGTCGAAGGTTTCGTTGCTCCGTTGGTCCTTTGCAGCGGGTTGCAGCCACGCTGTTAGCTCCTCGGGCCTCTGCTCACAGTTCTGCGAGGAGTTCCAGGGTGCCTTGTCGAGTCTTGCGTCTGTGGGTTCGCATTTCTTCGTCTGGCACGTCGTCGTGGTAGAAGTAGTAATGGAGTTCTTCCGCTGAACCGAGCGAGAACGCCACTCGTTGCTGTCTTGGGCTGTGTCCAGGTGCTGGGCGATTGTCCGGAATGCTCCGTGACTGTCATGGGGCAGGCCGTTGTTCTGGGCAACGGTGATCAGGCAGTGGGCGAAAGCTCCCCACAATAACTCGGCGGCAATCATCTGATTGCCGCCGTCTGCTGCTGATTCTTCGTCGGCCTGCCTAATGAATTCGCGGGCCATGCTGAGGTGTTCTTCCTGGTTCATGGGGCCGCCTGCACGGCCATGCTGGTGGCGAGTTCTATGACGGTCGTGGCGAAGCTGAAGCCGTTTTCTTCTGCGTCTTCCGGAGCGTCAGCGTAGGTTCCGAACCTGATGCTCCTTGGCAGTCCCGTGCTGGCGCCCAGCGCGGAGCCCAAGTGGTCGCCCTCTTTGGAGCAGTTATCCAGGGCCTTGTCAAATTCGTCCAGGTTCTCGGGCCATTCGCTCCCGCTTCCCAAGGCTGCGACGATGCTGTAGAGGTTACCGCGGGTGCTGTGGGGCCAGTTGCGGGTTGCAGCGATATATCCCAGGGTCGCTCTGACGGCGTCCGTGAGAGTTTCGGCTCCTTCCACGGCCTCTCCCTTCCGGAAGCTGTGGCGGGCCCTCTTGAAGTAAGCTTCGACCATTTCCTCCACTGCTGGCTGCCAGGTCTGGGACACGGTAGTTTTCAAAGTGTCCGCATCCTGGCCGGTGCAACTACTGACTGCCTGGGCGACGGCGTTTATGGCGTCGTTCATGGGCCGGTTGCTGTCCGGAACGGGCCATCTTGCTTGGAAATCCTCTTTAATTTTCTCCAGTTGAGGAGTGGGCTGTGCCACATGGGTGACTATCCGGAGGGCTGTGAGGGCGACGTCTTGCGCTACCTTTTCCATTCTGGTGTTCATGTCGGTTGCTCCAGCCTATCTGCTTCGTTGGATGTTATTTCCCGGTACCTGCGCGGTCAACTGTGGGGGTTGGCAACTGCTGACAGTTGAGTAGGTGACAGTGTGTATTAGTTTGTTGATAGTGAGGTAGGACGAAGTCGCTCCGCTGACCTAATTGCCGTTGGCGGCCTCGTGCATTGCGAACTGTCGTTCTGGTATCATGTATCTATGGCAAACCGCAAGGGAGACAACCGGTCATTTGCTGAGAGGAGCGTTTCAGGCAAGCCGCCGATGGCGACTTATCAGACGCGCATCCACGGTTACGCAGGAGTGGAAAGGGCGGCCGGGGACTCGGCCCTGTCAGCTTACGCTGGGCTGTACGTCCGGGTGCAGCGCAAGCTGTTCGCAGAGGTGGCGGCGGGACGGTCGTTAGCGTCGCTCAAGAATGAGTATCTGGGGCGTTACGGCATACCGGCGCGGATGCTCAACGGGGTGCGGGTGTCGCTGGAAGGGAAGGTGGCGTCGGTCAGGGAGCAGCAGAAACTGCGGCTGGGCGACCTGCAACGGCGGATTGCACGTGCCGGGCAGCAGATCGCCGATGCCGCCGAACATGGTCGGCTGGGTCAGGTTCATCACAAGAAACGGCGGTTGGCCAATCTGCGGCACCGGCTGTCTGCACTGGAAGCCGACATTGCGGCGGGCCGGGTGCGGCTTTGCTTCGGGTCGAAGCGGTTGTGGCGGAAGCGGCGCAATCTCGAGACCAACGGCTACGCCAGCCACGAGGAATGGCTCAGGGACTGGCGGGACGCTCGCAGCGACGAGTTCTTCGTCTTGGGGAGCCGGGATGAGACGGCGGGTTGCCAGCTCTGCGTGGCGACCGTTGCTGACGACGGGACGCTGACCCTGCGGCTCCGAATGCCGAACTGCCTGGCGGGGCAACACGACAAGTACGTGGTAATCGAAGGTGTGTGGTTTGCCTACGGCCATGAACAGGTGCTGGCCGCCCTCCAGAGCAATGCCGAGTACTCCGCCTACCGGCGGCAGCACGGTGAGAAGGCGGCTCGGGCGACCGGACTGGGTCAGGCCGTAAGCTACCGGTTCAAGCGGGACGAAAAGGGCTGGCGGGTATTCGTTACCACCAACATGATGGGAGTGCCGGTGGTTACGGACCAGCGTCTTGGCGCCATCGGCGTGGACGTAAATGCCGACCATCTGGCCATTGCTGAGACCGACGCCAGCGGCAACTGTGTGAACTCTTGGCGGACGCCATTGGTCACCTACGGCAAGTCCCAGCGTAAGGCTGAGGCCCTGATCGGCGACGCCGTGGCCAGCGTGGTGCGGTATGCCCGCGAGGTCGGCAAGCCCATGGTCATCGAGAAGCTGGACTTCCGCCGGAAGAAGGCCGGCCTGGAAGGCCAGTCCCGGAAGTATAGCCGGATGCTGTCGTCTTTCAGCTACGGCAAGGTCAAGGCGTACTTCATCTCCCGCGGCTACCGTCAGGGAGTTGAGGTACACCAGGTCAACCCGGCCTACAGTTCGGTGATCGGCCGGGTGAAGTTCATGGAGCGTTACGGGCTCAGTGTCATCAGGCGGCTGCCTTGGTGCTGGCCCGTCGTTTACTCGGTTGCTCAGAGCGCATTCCACGCCTTCGGGTTGCACCCGTTGGTAACGGCGTCCATGTCGCCTTCCGCGTACCTGCAAGGAAGCGGGTGAAGCACGTGTGGACGTACTGGGGCGCGATCTCGGGACAGCTGAGACCGGCGCTTGCAGCGCATCATCGGCTGGGAAAGCGGAGACGACGACCCAATCCGGTTCAGGCTGTCGCGCGTGGTGAAACACGCGGGGTGGCTTGAGCGGGGACCAGATCGGTGTTCCCGGGTGAGATCCCCGGGCGGAGCCGTCTTGTACTGTTGGGACGGCGGCGCGGCTCAGACCGCGAACTCAGAGAAGGCTGACGGAAGTCCTGTGACTAAAGAAAGTCACCATTTTTAACAACGGCGGTTCGACGCTTGGTATGGGAGCGTATGGCCCGATCTTTGCGCCTTTGGGCATCCCCCAGCCACAGCTACTCAACGAACGGGCGCGCCGCTCCCTCGAGAGGTGTCGCACCGGGCCGTATCGTCAGGCGGTTCCGCCGGCCCCATGTGGAGCTCGACGGCCCGTTGCGAGGCGGCGCGGTAGATGTCCTGCATGGCCGGGACGAATTCCAGGTTGCCCTGCCAGAGCGGGAACCGGCCCAGCTGCTGGGGCAGGGCGGCAGCCAGGTCGGGTATGACGGCCGGGCCCGCATGGTCCTTTTCCCGCAGCGCCGTCAGCGGGTTGGACCCAGAACTCGCCCGGGTTCCGGCGGCAGGGGCTCGGCGGGCAGTGTGGGTCCCTCCAGGGTCTGGGCGGAGCGGCGGAACTCCGGGCCCAGCAGGTCCTCCCGGTCCATGCCCCGCATCCGGAATATCAGGAAGGGGTCCCGGTCGAACTCCTCGCCCAGCAGCAGGTACACGGCGGCAACGTGCTTGCATGGGTTGGACCAGTCGGGGCACGAGCAGTCCGTCTCCAGGTCGCCCTGCCGGTCGGGGAACATGGACAGGCCGGCGACCCGGAAGGTGTCCTCGATGTTGTCCGGCATGCGGCCCCGACAGCAGGCTGGCGGCGATGATGGGCTGTTCCGCCATGGCCGCCTGGAGGCGTTCCCAGTCCGGTGGGCTGATGGTCCGGACCTCGATGCTAACGTTGTATGGCCGCTTGCGGGAGCCCTGCACCTTGGCCGTTACGCCGCCGGGCTGAATGTCGATGGACATGACCTGTCCCCGGCGGGCGTAGGAACGGCCCCGGTCGAGGCGGCTTCCGATCCGGAATTCCTCAAGGGTCTGGAGCCACCGCTTGGCCCACCAGCTGGAGCCGAAGGCGCCGCGTTTCGACCCGGCCCTGATGCCGCCTCTGACTTCAATTGGCTTGGTATACAGGTAGTCGTTGTAGCTCATCATCGTTCCTGCGTTGAGGAGGAGATCAGGTTGCTTTCCATGATTCCACCGGGTGTCAGTCCGCCGGGTTCGCGCTGAGGGCCAGCACGTCCCGGAGTTCGGCGTTGGAGAGCTCGGTGAGCCACCGCTCCGAGGTGGTTCCCACCACCTGGTCGGCGGTCTCCTGCTTGATTTCGATCATGAGGTCGATGCGGTCCTCCAGAGTGCCGGCGCAGATCAGCTTGTGGACGTGGACGTCCCTGGTCTGGCCGATGCGGAAGGCCCGGTCGGTGGCCTGGTTTTCCACGGCGGGGTTCCACCACCGGTCGTAGTGGATCACGTGGTTGGCCCGGGGCAGGTTGAGGCCGGAGCCCCCGGCCTTGAGGGACAGGACGAAGACCTGCGGGCCGTCGGGGTCTTCCTGGAAGCGTTGCACCATGAGGTCTCGCTGTTTCCGGGTGACACCGCCGTGCAGGAAAGGGGTTTCCAGGCCGTGGGTCTCCTGCACGTGTTGTTGCAGAATGGCTCCCATCTCGGCGAACTGGCTGAACACCAGCACCCGGTCCCCGGCGGGACAGTACCTCATCGAGGATTTCCTGCAGGCGGGCCAGCTTGCCGGAGCGGCCGGTGATGGCGGAGTTGTCGCCCAGCAGCTGGCGGGGGTGGTTGCAGGCCTGCTTGAGCTTGGTCAGGGTGTCCAGGATCGACCCCCGGCGCTTGATGCCCTCTGCGGATTCCAGCCGGGTCTCCGCCTCGCGCAGCACGGCCTGGTAGAGCGTTGCCTGCTCCCTGGTCAGGCTGCAGTACTGCTTGGTCTCGTTCTTGTCGGGCAGGTCGTCGATGATGGACCGGTCGGTCTTGAGGCGGCGCAGGATGAAGGGTCCGGTGGCCTTCTGCAGGCGAGCCGCCGCTGCTCCGTCCCGGTCGGTCTGGATGGGTAGGAAGTAGTTGCGCTTGAACTCGGCCTGGGAACCCAGGAGGCCGGGGTTCAGGAACTGCATGATGGACCAGAGGTCGCCGACGTGGTTCTCCACCGGCGTTCCGGTGAGGGCTATCCGGTAATCGGCCGGGAGTCCCTGGGCGGTGCGGGCCTGCTGGGACGCTGGGTTCTTGATGTTCTGGGCCTCATCCAGGATGGCCGCCCGCCAGGGTACGGTGCCGAGCAGGTCCCGGTCCCGGTGCATGGTACCGTAGCTGGTGACGACCAGATGGTGGTCGTCAGCCTGACTACGGAAGGCAGCTCCACGATGGCGGTTCGAGCCGTGGTGCAGCAGCACGGCCAGGTCCGGCGTGAACCTGGCAGCCTCCCGCTGCCAGTTGTTGATCACGGACGTTGGGCAGACCAGCAGGTTGGGCCGGTCGTTGCCCTGCTGGCGGTCCAGTTGCAGGGCGGCCAGCGTCTGGACGGTCTTGCCCAGGCCCATGTCGTCGGCCAGGCAGGCTCCCAGCCCCCAGTCCCTGAGGAAGGCCAGCCACGAGTAGCCCAGCTGCTGGTAGGGCCGGAGCTGGCCGACGAAGTCCTCGGGGGCGTCCATCCGCTCGATCCGGCCCTTCTGCTGCAGGCGTTCCAGGAGATCACGGAGCCAGTCGTCGGCCGCCAGGGAGACGTTGTCGTCCTGGGCCGCGCTGGTCGGCGCCCAGCCCGATCTGCACGACTTCCCGCAGGCTGACCTGCTCCCGGTTGCGCCAGAAATCGGCTGCCGCCCGGATGTCATCGGCGTTGATTTCCACCCACTGGCCCCGGAACCGCACCAACGGTACCTTCAGCTCGGCCAGCTCCTCGAGTTCCTGCACGGATATGGGTTCGTCGCCCAGGGCCATCTCGACGTCCAAGTCGATCAGGGATGTCATGGTCATGCCGGAGCCGCCCTGCATGACCGGGGTCTTGGCCCTGGCGCGGATGCCGGGCCTGGTCCTGGCGCCCTGCCGGGTCCACCAAGCGGGCAGCAGCACGCCGAACCCGGCCTGTTGCAGCGCGGCGGCCTGGCTTTCCAGAAACCCGTAGGCCTCCTCGATGTTCAGCCGGTATCCGGCGGGTTGCCTGCGCTTCAGGCTGTTGGTGATGGGTGGGCATACCGAGCCGGCCTGGGCCAGGGAACTCAACAGGAACTCGGCGGGGTTGAAGTCCGGGTGCGGTCCATTGACCTGATTCTTCCACACGGCCTCGGCGGGGAGCAGGAGGCTCTGGTCGTCGTGGGGCTGTAGCAGGTAGCGCAGGTACCAATCATCCTGCCGGATGGCCGACGCCTCGTCGTCCGGGCCGGGTTCGGGCGGCTCTTCCAGCCTGAGGCAGAGACGGTATGGAGAGTTGGCGGCGATGGCGAGGGGCCTTTGCCATTCGGCGACCTGGCGGCGGAGTTGCTGGAGTTGTGCCGGTTTGCTCCGGACCTCCGGGTTGGTATGGCACAGGGCGGCCAGCCAAGCGTCGTGGGCGGAGTCGAACTGCGGTTGCGCTTGGTTTTCAGTATCCGTCCTGGCGCGTACCAGGTGGTCAACTTGGGCTGTAATGAACTCCCTGAGGACCGCTTGGGCCGGGGTGGATGGCGGTTCGGTCGCCTCTGCGCTGGTGAGCGCCCTGGCCGACGCCGGCATCAGTCCGGACAGCTCGGCCAGCCGGTGGGCATCCTCGCCGATGAACACCGGAATCCATGTCGCCACGGGTCTGGTCGCTCTGTTCGGACAGGTTGGGCAGGAATTGTTGCCGGGCCGTCAGGGAGACCGCCAGCTGCAGGGCGTGGGTCCAGTAGGCCAGGTCAGTTCCGATGACGACGCCGGGTTTCAGGACCTGCCGCCCGTGGCACGTCTGCAGCAACTGGGCGGCTTGCTCCGGCCCCAGCTGGAGCGTCGTTACGGTCCATGGCCTGATGCGCGGCTTGGCTCGCGACCTGGGCATGGGGCCGGCCATGGGGCTGGAAGGCACGGGAGCGTCGCCCCGGCTGGGCAGCCAGGCGATTGCGCTGGCGAAGCTGTTGTCGACCGTTTCGAGGCCGATCGCTTCGGCCAAGGGCTCCGCATGGGCGCAGTAGGAGTGTTTCCCATCCAGCTGCCGGTCGGACTGCGTCACGTGTGGTTCGGAGTCTTCGCTCCAGAGGACGAGGTTTCCTTTGTCTTGGGCGGCGTGCAGGATGAGCATGGCGTTGTCCGATGCAAGGACAGGCTGTTACCTGTCCCTGCGGTCGAGTTGGAGTTGCCAAATCGCGTGGGGGGAGCTGGTCCCCCTGCTGTTTATCCCTCTTCTTTTCTCTGTGCCAGTTCCGCCTCCAGCTCACTGACGCGGGCCTCGGCCGCCAGCCTGGCTTCTCGTTCGGCCAACCTGGCTTCTCGTTCGGCCAACCTGCCCTTCCGCTCCTGCTCGAAGGTGGGTATTTCCTGCCCCGTCTCCGGGTCGTGCCAGCGCAGCTCGCCGCGTTCCCAGCGGACAAGGAGGCCCAGCGCGGCGCTGTGGCCCTGCAGGACTTCTTCTTCGACCTCCTCAATGGGTATCGGTTCATACCGGCCGTCCACCAGCTGGTCTCCCGCGAGGCGGCTTCCGTGAAATCTTCCGGTCTGGTCGAACCGCCAGTATTCCGGGATGCCCAGGCTGGCATACCAGGTCCGCTTGTTCCCGGTGTCCTCTTGGCCCGTGCTTTCTGAGGCTATCTCCATTACGAAGTCGGGCGGCTTGCCCTGCTCGGAGATGACGTAGCTGTTGCTGTCCTGGTAGGCCTCAGGGTCGGCGTTGAATGCGATGAGCAGGTCGGGGAATCTCCGGTCCGCTGCCGGGGTGTCCGGTTCCCGGATGATGTACCTCTCCCCTCCGACGACGGTGGTCCCTGGTGGCCGAAGTGTTGGGCCAGATGGTGGGCGCCGCCGTTCTTGGTCAGGTGATCGAAGCTGGTCATATCCTCTGGCTCCCGCTCCGGCGGGTCGGGGAGCGGCGGAAATGTTCTTGCGGCTCTGGGTTTGGTGGTCATGTCTGGCCTCGTGGACTTGGCGGTTCGGGTTCCAGCCTCTGGTATGGGAAATATAGAACATCGTGCCTTTACTGTAAAAGCTGCTATCCGACAGCTTGCATCTGAGCCAGGTTGATGGCCGGAACGTGTCGGTTCTGAGTGTCCACTGATGGACGTATTTTGCGACCTTGGGGGATGCGTCGCTGCGGCTGTTTCCGCGCTGCATCCTGGGGCCAGGGCTTCAATCGGAGACTGCGGCTGGTTGTTGTGCTCTTCCTCTGCCGCGGCGAGGTGCCTGTCGATGCTGTTGACCACCGCCCTCGATGGTGAAGTGCAGTTCACCGTGGTCGTTCTGGCTCCTGAACTCCCGGTCTGCCTGCTGGAGTGCTGTGACTGACTGCGCTCCAATCCTGTTTGGTGGCCGC